TATTTGAAACATCCTTATCAAAATTTGATGGTTTGATTGTTGAAATGATGGATGAATAGTTGAATGGAAAGATTCAAGGCGACAGTTATATAGATGCAAATAAATTGATAAATAAATGGATAGATAACCTAGTATTAACTTAAGTAGGTTGCTCTAGGCCTATTTATTCTAAATCCAGGCTATGTACTAGGACTAATCTGGGGTATATTAGACTAAATCTTTTTCAAACTACTAAGTTGACATTTTCTAAAGAATTACGCTTTCTTTGGATCTTAGTGTCTTACAAGATTTATAAAAATCCATCAATCGTTCACATTTTAATTGCTTCTCTAAACATTTCATGAAATTTTAACTCCAATGAAATCCACATCATAGTACATGTTGTCTCCATTTGCTTTAAAATTAATGAAAGGAGTTAAATTGAGGCTATAGTTGGCCACAAGGCATTAACTATTATACAGAATGTAAAATATAATCTAGGCCTACTGTACACTGTATGCTTGAACAAGATAGATCTCTTATATGACTGCAACAAGGTTTTCATTACTTTTTACATGTTTAGAGAGTATTGAAGCAATGGTCATTTATTTAATAATGCCTTCCACAAAAAAAAAACTGTATCAAGAAGCTTGTGTTGCATAGTGTTTGAATGCATGTGTACAGTGTATTTAAACAGCCAACTGAAGTGTTTTAATTTTATACCAGGCATTTTATAATGTAGCTCATAACTCAAGATAATTACTTTTTCAACATTTCAAGGATTGAAATGTTCACTAAAATTAGTATGGTTCTGCCACTCTAGGTTAAAGGATTGGGAATTCTTTTATTAACAAACAAGTTCCATCAAACTTTTTACAACACGTTTAGAGAAATTATTATACTGTATCAGTCTTGCATACTCTGAATTCAAATTTCAAACATTCTAACAGCCAACTGGCAGGGTTTGGAACATATAATCAATAAGCTCGTGCCGAAGCCTTCATTTGAAGTTGGCGATAAATCCAGAAGAAGAATAAAGGGCGAATCATGGCCTATCACAACATTGTCTCAGAATAGTTACTTTATTATAATACTCATGAAAATGTTCACCAAAAAATAAAATGAGTGTAAACTGCTGCTCTAACTATGGATTCAGGAATGTCTAATTTGTTAACAATCTTGCGACAAAACCATTGTTACATTCTAAGTCAGTGTATGAAACACAAAGTGACTCATGGCAAAAGTTTGGTCCTAAAACAACCCACACACATCTTGCTTACTAAAGGATGTTTTAACTTGAAGAAAAGTAAACTTATTCAAGAATATCTCTCAGTCTGCAGCAGTGCTATGCTAACAAGTGCTCCGACACACGATTTCCGCTCTTTGGTTTTCATAGATTTTTCAATTATGCAATTGTTTGCTTAAGGAAGTTTTTAACTTCTGCATCATTGTTATTTATTTTGATATTGTCTATTTTTAGAATACGTGTTTTAGTTAGAATATTAGTAAAGTTGTTTAATGTTTGTATGTACAAACAGTATGCTTGTGGAACGTTAAGTGTCTATGCTAGCTATAAAAACTAGACATATTATGCAATACATAGGCCTACTGCACCTTGAGGAAAACATGTTCTAATGAGGAAATCTAAGGGAGTACACTATGCCATCTCTGAAGGCCTCACAGCCAGTTGAAAGGACCAGCGTAGATTAGCCTTGAATCCCAATAGGGAAAATTTCATTTCTCCAAAAGAAATATCATCTTCAGAAATGATTAGTTATACTGTACATTAGTTCAATGGTACAAAACCATTGAATGCAACTGAAGTATTATTAATGCAACATAGCACTTGTGTTAAGCCTTAAAAAAATCCTGCATTACTGTAGGTCCATACCCAAGAGAAATGAAACATAATGAAATATTATTAGCCTTTTTTATGAGTGTATAATGTAGACTTTTACTACCACAGAAATACATTATATTTATATCAAAACGATTTAATGAATTTTAAAACAATTTTTTTTTTAAATAAATTAAAAGCAAATGAAAAAAGAATTACAACTAAACAAATATATTAAATAATCAAAATAATTACTAAAATTTTAATAGGCCTACAATTGATAATAAATAACAAACAAAATTTTTTTTAAATAATTAAAAAAAAGTTATTTACATGAAAATTCAAGCTCAGTGTGTCATGAGCAGATACCAAATATTCGTTTATGATTATTACACATTAACACAATAGAAACAAATAGAGCAATCGCATCCTATCTCACTATTATCGAAACATTATTAATAAAATCGGTAGGTCCCCTACCCGGGGGGGCTCGCCCTTGAATATTTCTATACAGGGAGGTACCACATTTACGGGGTATATTTTCGAGAACTTAGCAGCAGGAAAGTGTGGGAAATATGGGAGGGGGGGAGTTGCAGCATTTATGGGGTATGCTTGCGAGGACTTTGTAGCACAAGTGTGGGAAATAACCGGGGTGAAATTGGTAGTTAAAGTCCCTGGCCTATCCTGTGTCAAAGTACCACGATTTTCTGCATGATTTTAGCGGGAATTTCAAGCTACATGTAGACTGGGTGCTAAGCTGGAAGCCCCTGGCTAAGCCAACCACTGATTGGTGCAGCCACGAGATCGCGACCGGACGGAACACTTTTGCCATCGGTAACCCGTAAGATATTGCGCCTTCTTTGGGACTATTGAGTGACCTTTTCCCTGTCGTCTTTTAGAGCACAGTGCATTTTTGGTAAATGGTAGTTCCAGTCCATAAGAATTTTCAGTATAGGTAGCTCAAGTGTCTCAGTCTTGAAGTGGCTGCGGCACCCCCCTGATTGGTTGGTATGCAAGTGAGCTCCCCGGGGTCCCCTACTACTACCTATTATTGTATTAACATTTCTTATTATTATCATCTTCATCATCATCCTCATTATTTAGATTATTAATTCCATATTTATTAATTCGTTGCTGTTTCTTATTTTTTTAAACATACATTTTGAAAATATAGGTCCATAGTATACTGTGCCAGACACACTATTAATGATAAATTGAAGCCTATTTCTATGAAATGATTACTCTACATTGCAAGGTGTCAAACTATAATACCTAATGTGACAGATAAATGGTTAATTAATGTAGTAATATGTATGCTAATGCCAACCAACATCTGTTGCCTAATATTCCACAATAAAAACTATTTAAATAAAAATATGTCAAGTCTAAAAATAGAAAGTATACAGATATGGGTATGGGATGTGAGCATATGTCAATTATCCGATTAATATGTGATCGAATTGACGCCATTTGTTATATTGTATGTCAGAAATTTGACAGACTGATCAATTCTGTGCTGTTAGCTTTATGCAAACAACTTTGAACTTTATAATACTAAAGGCCAGGTCTACTGTATATAACATGTATTTAGATTATTGGCTGATTGTGAATATAGAAAATGGCACACGTCCTAGTTTTTGTGTTTTTTTTTTTTACAGAGTACAGAAACCTACAGTACATTTCACAAAAAAACACTAGGCCTACACAATATCATATTTATAATACCAACAAGGGTTTATCAAACAAAGCTCACTATTTGGGTCTATAACAGAGCATAAAGCTATGAATAGAGTCACTTGACAAGGGAAAAACATTCTGGTTTGAAAATTGAATTAAATAACACATTTGGACAAAAGAGGTAGGCATACAGTTGTTGCCAATAATATTGTTGAAATGTGTAATGTGACTGACTTGCAGAATTTAATCTGCCGTTGACCATCGAAGTGGGTTAAGAATTCAGAAGTATTACAGTAATCTTAAAAGCCTCCTGAAAGCTTTTTCAAAGAGTACTAGTGTACCAGTAATAATTTAACAGTAATTTCATTATTTTGTTATGGTAACATACATCAGTGACAAACTAAACTGTAAAATATAGCCAAGTATATTTATGAAATTTATCTTTCATGTTACTGTAATAGTTGATAGAATATCATCTCTTCTTCTAATAGGTAGGCCTACCATGTTGACGTTAATAGTTATTCGATACATTTCATCCTCCAATCCGAGACCACTTTGGGACCTGAAAATTTGGGGTGGTCTCGAGGTTTGGTCTCCACTGAAAGGGAAATATGTAGGCCTATATTTTAACAGCTTTAGTAGCAAAGTTTGCAAGTTTTTTTATTTGATAAAATGTCTTTTCTTAAACAAAATTCAATTATATTTTCTTTTTCTCATTTTGAAGACAATTTTTACTACAGTGATGTGGGTAGGAGATAAACTTTCATTCATTTTTTATGGTCTAATTTGTTATTTAGGGAGCATCCTTTGGAATATTTACTGCCTGTATGTGCTGGTAATGTACAGATAGCTTGAATAACTTTGTTTTATTTTCTATGGTGGAAAAATCTGAATTTAAAAGTAAAAACTGAACTTCATCGAGAGTATTAGTATCCTCTATTAGTGATGGTCAAGGTGAAATTTTCTTCATAGTGCTTTTAGCAACTTGACAACAGTCAACTTATTATTATAGTGTCTCCAGAGACTATCTTTTGAGAATAATAAAATGTCATCATTGCCACCACATTATCTAATCCAGGTTTTGTACCAAAGCCTTTGATTTGTTCTACTAACTGGCTTTATGATTACAGAGCATTGGCATACATACAGAAGGCTGGGGTGCGAGAGTGTGGACACATCCCTTCCCCACCCCATGATGGCAAATTAGTTCCACTGAGTCAGTTAAAATACTAAAAATGACCTTTAAGTTTTCATTGGAATAGGAATTTAGTTTTGCATTCTCAATTTTTCATACGCTCACCCCCAGGCCATTTCGCATCCCTCCCCTCCTAGGCCAAAACCAGACGGAATCCTAGCAAGTTGCACCTCCAAGACTTTTTTAAACAGTGGCATTAAAATATGTGCATATGGACTTTTGAAACATCCATTTGGGCACCATTCTCTGACTGTAGAGTTTACACTCAGGCACAGTACTCTAATTTTAACAATATGATGGGCATAGGCCTACCTGTGCTTAAGACTTTCTCTGTCCAGCTCACCAGAAAGATTACCAAAATCCACTTCATCACCGATTCAGTTGTAGTTTTCCCTGGATATATGTTCAATGTTGAAGACCTAATTCTGTCCTGGTTAACTTGATGATGCTGCTTTGCTGGTGATGTGTCAAACTTTAGTAGAAAAAATAAAGTAAAAATAATTATTATGAACATAGAATTTTTCTGGCAACACCAGTGGAGGCTTAGGCCTCAATTTGGAGGGCAAGTCCCCTCCCCCTTTCCACCATCAGCCGACATGTGGGACTTGAAAAAAGGATATGGGCAACTTGATAATTTGGTTTGGCTCCAATGGTGATGCTACTACTGTGGCATATCTAGGGGTCAAGGGGGATACCCTGCCCCAAAAACTTGCTTTCCCAGTCAACCCACACCCCCACATCCCCCCACCCCACTGATTTTAAAATGTTCAAAGCAAAAAAGTCATGCTGAAGTAGTTGATATGACCTGATATTGACGTATTTAGCAATGTAGCTCTCTTCGCTAATCATCGATCCCCCACTCCACCTTTGCACACCCCCTACCTCATTAGCCCTTCCGCTTCCATTTCTATACTCCTAATAATTTGCCACTGTGATAACAAACTTCAGGTCAAAAATTAGCCCTTCCGATGATGGAGCTGGCTAACCAGAAGCAATGCAC